TAATGCATCTTAGTGAGATTAAGGGAGTGCTTGGTTTGATTCAGGGCTAATGCAAACACAGCAGAATCATTGTCACATGAGACTGAGATCGCACAGGGATCTATATCACGCTAACAAAACATGCAGGTCTAATATGAATACAGTACAGACTCACCTTGTGACCTGCAGGTATACCAGGATCACACACAGCTGCACAGAGCATGTGCACCAGCAGGTCCTGCACCTTGCCCATACCGTCCCCAATATTGAGCAACCCCAGCTGAAGGTCACTTAGGTTGAGCATGTTTGAATATTTGTCCAATCCAAGAACCTTTCCAAAGGTACGCAGGAACTGCAGCACCATCAGGCAGTCAGAAAAGGTGGTTCCTGGTAACAGCAGACCAGGAATACGGGACAGTTCTGGAAGTGGCTGGAGAGAAATACAAAAAGGTTTTTAAAAATAAAATTCAATGTTGCATTCATTACTTTTTCATAATTCATGGGTAGTGCCTGTACAACTAAAACCCAAAAGAAAAAAAAAAATGCTTCGTTGATGTAAAATCTGTTCTTTTCACAGCCCTCATTACAATTACATGGTTTCTGAAGAGTACTTCAAGATTTAGAGAAAAAAAAAGCTTCAATTCCTGGGGGAAAATGCTTTGAATGATCTGAAAGAAGAGTTATATTTCTTTTAAACGTGTCAGTTGTTTCAGACTAATCTGTCTCCTTAGTCCAGTACAAAAAAAATGCCCAGAAATTTTGATTACAAGTATCTCAGAAGTTTTTTTTGGTTGCCGTTATATCAGTAGCCACTTGGTGTCAGTATTATGACCTACACTTGTTTCCTTTTTATTCAATTCCAGATGCTTACAGGGATATTAAGCATATGTTTTAGTATATCTGATAGTGAAACAAAACAATAAATTCAATTCATATCTTCATGCCTACAACCCCCATAGTGATTAAATTGAATGATTTCTATGTCAAAAAAAAAATCCTGTGTTGGTGGAAAATCCAGCCTTTCTACACACATCTACTCCACAGATGGAGACAATTTGTGGTGACATATATGGACTCATTTTAATCCGTCAACAGTTCTGCAGCATGTGAATACCTTATGATCTGCTAAACACATGTCTTCATTTGGTTTCTTCAGCTGCTTTGCTTTTTCCAGTTCCAGTCTTCTGAGCTCCAGTTTCTTTTCCTTGTTTATCCGTTTTTCATCCTCCTTCTCTTTCTTCAGACGCTCCTTCTCCTACAGCCAAGAGCAATTAATGACACCACAGCAGACCTTCATGCTTAGAATTGCATTGTCCGGTATTTACAAAGGGTGGACTCAAAAACAAACAAACAAAAAAAATTTATGACCTCAACTACCACTTTGAATCAAAGAAGCTAAGCTCAACCGATGGGCCACAGGCCCACTGGTGGGCTGTGGAGTAGTATTGCAAAAGGTTAGATTAAAATGGTTCGGTAATTTATAAAGCTAGGTATATTTACTAGGAGCTCAAGAATTCCCAATTTTTAAAAACACCTTCAAATTAAAATGCATAATTTCAATAGTAATTACATGGAATATTACGACATCGTCAGGGAGTGAGAAATTTACCACTGTTAGATAGCTAGTCAGCCAGTGTTTCTTCAGATGCAGTGATACAAAACGGATTGGTTTTTGAAATGAAAAAGTGATTTGGGAGACAATCTCGCGCTCTTAAATGCTCCAAAGTGTGTGGTGAATAAGTATAACCCTGAATACATTAAATACATTATTTGACAAAATGATCCTCAGAAACATAATCAATTTACAAGGGTCTGAGCACCCCTGGCCTAAAGGTATGCACACATTACAGCTGAAAAAAGGCTTTTGCGTGCACCTCGCCATTGTTGTGGATGTGGTGTGCTCCCCAGGCTACGCAAACTTTCACGGCGCACAGCGCAGAGCGGAGGTGTGCCCAAAGTTCAAATTTGCTGAACTATGGCCCTGGTTATGCTGACCACTGTGCACACAGCTAATCACTGTTTCAACATGGCTTCCCCCATACTAATAAAATCCTGGGTCACACTATGCAACCAACACTGCAGAATTTTCCCCAAACTGTACAATACTTCCCCCATACTAATAAAATCCTGGGTTACACTATGTAACCAACACTGCTGAATTTTCCCCAAACTGTACTGTTATGATCCTCACGTCGAGATCAAATAAAACAAACTACTTAGCTAGCAAAATATCAGCACAAAAGTGTAGCTACCAAGACTAAAAACAAACAAAACTGTACAGAACACTTCAACAGGCAACACAGGCATCCGAACCTCCGACCCTCAGGTTGGGAGACGACTGCTCTACCCACTGAACCACAGTCGCCCCCTAGCAACAACAGCATTGTAGCCGCACCATTTTGTACAGCACCACCAGGAATTTCTGAGTTTCAGCACCAAACACCACAGAATGTGCAACAAGATCTTAAAAAGGCCTTTTTATGTTCTTTCAGCTTCATGTGCCCTACAAAAACACTTTCGATAGCAGGGGAAACCCTGTTAATGTTACTATGTCTCAACACTACTGACTGCAAGGGAAAATACACTGTGTACATAAGACAGGAAGAAGTAATGACCAGAAATAAAAAGTGAGAGAGTCAGCAGTTACTCACCTCTGCCTTTTTACGGGCCTCCACAGCCTTCATGAGCATCGAGTGCTGCCTGCGTCTTTCCCTCTCCTAGTACAGCACAGACATAATTTCTATTCTATTCACAGTTTGATTATTTTCTGAAGAGAAAATAGGGTCACAGATACAACACAGTGTGAACCACATAACATGCAAAGTAGCATGGGTCACTGTTTCACAGTCAATTCACAATAAAAATGCTGCACATTGCACTGTAGTTTATATAATGCAATTTAAAGACGTACATAATAGTTAAGACAAACAACACGATCAACAAAAAGTAAATGAGGGTAGTGATGCATACACAAAGCATAAGCTCCGAGTTAGAAACACTGGTTATTAATCTGAGAATATTGGAAAACAGCAGACTGAAAGCTAGTACAGGCCTCGAGTATTAGGACAACAAGTCGCATATATTAAGTGTTAGAGTGGCAAAAAGACTGAGTGCATTCCTAATCATCTGCTAAACATCAACCTATGAAACTATCAAGGCATCGTGGGGATTAAATTTAATTCATATTTGAACTCTTCTTTATTTACTATGAAAACTAAACTATAGAGTCCATCTGAGTTATCATGGCCTCACTTACAGCCAAGATACATTTACCGAGAATGAAAAATATTTCTAACTCAAATGAGGATATTCTTTTAATAAAGTAAATAAAACGGTTTACACTGACTTAGTGGTGTAAGCAGTTGGTAAGAATACAAAGTGACATATTCAGGCGGAAGAAAAGTTGGCTCACACGCAGAAAAGAAAGGAATTCAAGCACCTACATTTCACCTACAATCAATACAAAACATAAGCAATGTGGTAGGTAGCTGGGATTTATTCAGACTATCAAAACATTTCTCATCTCATTAGGCAGATAATAGATGTGTTTGCTCTGAGACAAAGCACAGACATATTGTACGCAGTGCACTGCTCTGGAAAAGCCATGCAGAGGGATGCATTATGACTGAAACCAACGCTACACTTAAAGCACTGCTATGATGGCAACTATTTATCACACATTCACAATATGTTGTTAAATGCACAGAAACAAACATACCCATACCATATCTATTCTATGCCTCTCCAACTCCTGGTAGAAAGAGTTGGCACAGTATTAAGAAATAGAAAAATCACAAAAAAAAGCAGTGCAAGAAAATACAAACTAAATTCAAAATGCACCAAAGGACCTGGAAACGTAATTTGACAGGATATACTGTACAAATAATGATTACAAATGTTTTCAGGACATTCAAGTTAAACAATGGCTTTAGTATAAATACAGTCATGGGCTAAATACCTACCTGGTGCTTCAGTATGACAGCCTGCAGTCTTCGTATCTCTTTCTCCTTTAAAACAAACATTAGCTCAATTAAAAACCAAAACATATGTAAACTAATTCACATAATGTTATAAGTGTGCAGAAATGGCTAGGCTTCTCCCTGTATTCCCCAGCAACCTGCGAAAACTCCAGGCCTCCTGCCCTGAATGGTTGAACTAGTGTCAAAATGAAAATGCCCTGATAGAAGGCCTTCTCTTATCATAGCGATTAACTGAGACAAAGTATAATAAAGCAAAACCATTACACTGAGCTGTTGGGCAAAAGTTGAGTCAGGTGCATGTAGCACTATTGTGCAACTGACTTGGAAGGACCAGAAGCAAGAAAACACAATTTTCCATCTTACTCACCTTGTTTCGTTTCTCTGCCTCCAATATTCTGGCATTGGCTGCAGCTTCTTTTTTCTTTCTTTTCACCTGTGCATGCAAGCCAGACCGTTAGTTCAGCAACTAACAGAAGCGACTGATGCACTCAGAACACAAAAAGTATGTACGCAACAGCAATACTATGGGTGAATCAACATTTAATTGGGGCAGAAAAATTAGTACATATAGCTTTCTTATTTAAAACAATTACATTAAAATAACAGAACAATAAAAAGCTAGAAATAAAATGTCATGCTTTTAAAATACATATACATCTGGTCTGTACAACAAACATTCATCGACTGTTGCACTTCACATTATGTATTGGTCGGTGTGCGCTTGACAGTTAATGCTGTCAATAGAAAATATTCCACACAAAGCTAAATAGACCCAGTTGGGCCACCTCTTACTTAATAAAACACTGTATTTAGTATTAAGCCCCATCACTACTTAAGAAGATTTTCATATTCAATGGCACTTTTGCAAAGACAGCAATTAAGCATTAGTCACATGCACTCACTGATGTGACCAAACGTGGGACTATATAATTTAGAAATAGCCTCTGGTTGGGCTTTTCTAAAATCCTATCAACAGCAAAAAAAGAAGTGTTTTAGAATGTTTCTGCAATAACTTTCAGGACAAACCTCGAGAATTTGCTGCGCACGGAGTTCTTTCTCCATTCGAATTTGCTGAATACGCTTGATCTTCTCCTGGTAAAAAGGATGAGGGCAAGATCAAATAAATTAACTGTTAAGTCATGCATGTTATAGAGTGGTGGAGGGGAGTGGTGTGAAGATGTACAGCGGGTCTAGGCAGATGAGGTGCTTGGTACAGCATGTTAAAGGATAGCAGCTTCCTTGTAGAATTTTAAAGCAATTCAACTGTGCTTAAATTCACCTTGGAGTGCTCAGACTCTGAATATGCAACAGAACAGAGCAGCTGCAGACTGTTACAAAGCTCTGCCTCTGCGTGGAAAATTAAATGCACATAAAGGAAAATCCTTACTTGCTGTTTAAGAATCTTTATCTGCTCTCTCTTTTTCCGCCTCTCCTCGGCAGCCATTATTGCTAGAAAACAAACAAATTAGGCTTTCACACAGCATGTGATCTAGTGCTGGAGAAGAGTTTGACTAGAGAGCAGCTGTTTACCTTGTTGCTTCCGGGCCTCCTTGGCCGCTTGTGCCATGGCCTGCTTCTCCAGTTTTCTCATCAACTTCATCTGAGCTACCTCTCGTGCTATTTCTGCACAACATAAAATCACAGACCCCATTTGAGTTAAAAAGTAAAATTTGAGAAAGCCTGGAGTTTTTGGAATGGGTTAGTTTTCATACTGATGTGAAGAGCGCAAAACAGTCTTGACTGAAACAGTAAAAGCAAAAGGGCAAGCTGACAGCCTTTGCCCTTGCTCAACATCCAATATTTCTGATGGCTGCATTGTTATGGACTGCTGACAAACCACCATTGCTGCCTCCTCTAAGATGGTTAAGGTTCTGACACCAAAGCATTCACCACTTATATTTGCAGTTATACTCCACTGTAGCTGAGCTGGAGACGGTCACAGCCAAAAATACTGGCACCCCTGCATTTCTGTCAGATAATGCACCACTTCTCCCAGAAAACTGTTGCAATCACATATTCTTTGGTCTTCACGTGCTAATTTTATTTCTTTGCATTGGAACAACATAAAAAAGCAGAACTCCAAAATTGGTCCGAACATAATTATTGACACTCAACTTAATAAAGTCAGATGTTTTCACACACCTTAGCCAAATACATTTCAACTCAGTTTATCACAACTGACATTTAATCCTATAAACATTCCCTGTCATAGGTCAGTGAGGATCACTACTTTAGTTTAAGGATGTGAAAAGTCAGAATAGTAGTAGAGAAAAAGATTTATTTCAGTTTTTATTTATTTCATCACATTCCCAGTGGATCAGATGTTTACATATACTCAGTATTTGACAGCATTACCTTTAAATTGTTCAACTTGGGTTAAACATTTCGGGACACCTTCCATGAGCTTCTTACAATAAGTTGCTGGAGTTTTAGCCCATTCGTCTGGACAGAACTGGTGGAATTGAGTCAGGTTTGGAGGCCTCCTTGCTTAGTTCTACCTATATCGTTTCTATTGGACTGAGTTCAGGGTTTTCTGCTGGCTGCTACAATACCTTGACTTATGTCCTTAAACCATTTTGCCACAGCTTTGGAAGTCTGCTTGGGGCCATTGTCCATTTGGACGAGCCATTTGTGACCAAGCTTCTACAGACAATATGCAGCCAACAGATGCTAGCGTTTTATATTGGATTTGCTGTTTAACAGGTGCCACTGAAACATCTCTAACCTTGAGCCTCCAGTTTGCGTAGCAGCTTGGCATCATTGGCATCTTGGAAGTTATTTTCACCAGTGTTTAGAGGGTGAGCCTTTTGTCGTCTGACCCCAGTACCATCACCTGTTGTCTCATGCTCAGTCTTTGTGCGGCGGCTGTGCCTCCCATCCATTGCTATGATTCTGGGTGCGAGCTCCTCCTCAGCCAGCAAGAACCACTGTAAACCCTGGTTAATAAGGGAGGAGTACGGAAGAAGGAATAATGGCTATAAAAAAGATAAAATGGCTCAACTTTTTATCTACCGCTTGTTTTCCATTTAT